CCTCCAAAGGGTCGCTGCGTGACCTTTGCCAATTAAAACATGTCAATGGAATGTAGCGTGTGTTAAATTCCTGGGGGAGAGAATCGTTGTGAATGAGTCGGTAACTGCACTGTGCATTATACAACACACGGGTGAAATGGCCCCGTGATATAGTTGTGTTTGCGATCCCTAGACATGTTACAGTCCACTACCACGAGGATATAGAATATTCAAATTATGATTTTTTTTTTTTTTTGGAAATAAAATTTTATCTTGTATAGTTTGGTCCACTAGCCGCGGGACACAGACACACACAGACACACACGCACGCCAGACGACATGCCACAATTCAGCACTGAACATTTCGGTCAGTGACGCCAGCGTTTACCGTACAACCTCTACAAATAAGGACTTATCGGGTTTCTTGGGAAAACCCATCCACATATCCTGTGCGCCATGCTTCTGTATATATATATATATTATATATATATATTTAGTATAAAAAACTTAGTATCTAACACAAGTCGGAGGAAATATGACACCCTTTTCTCTTTTTGTAGTTATTTTTTAAAAATGCATTGTGACCATGGGCGCCCGCAGAAAACTTTCTAGGGTGGGGGCAAAAAATCTATTAACTTTCCAGGGGCAGGGGGGCAAAATTTTTTTAGTAATGTTTTAATATAGTTTTAATGTACTGTAGCGTATTAGTATGGTGAACGAACGGACGGGACATCAGCTTAGTTACTTTCTCTTTATTTTCTCTTTACTTGATTAAATTTTGTGTCTATTTTTGTCTAAATTTTTTTTATCCAATCGATCTAGAGGTGGGCAAGTGCCCCCCTGGTTCCCCCCCCCCTGCGGGCGCTCATGATTGTGACTATTTTCCTGTCTGTATCTTAAGATAAACGCTTGTAACCAGCGGTCCTTTCCGACATCCCAGGGAAACATTTCTGGAAAAAAAAAAAAAAAGGGGGGGGGGGGGGGGGGGGCGCCGCATGTAGTTGAACCATGACCACGTCATAGTCATGCCAGGTACCGGTACTTAATGAAACTGTCTTTGATTTTACTAGGCTCTGCCTATACTACTACACATCAGCGGTGTGCTAGAGCCGGTTGAGGTGAACCGGTTGTTAAATGCTAACTGCTATTTTCTACCGAAACGGTTGTGAACAATGTTAAAAATAAAAACAAGCCATTATAACAATAAACACAGACTTTGACATTTTTTTTCTTTCTGTAATCGGCCAGTATCAAATCATTTGTTCCCGTAATCGACAAGTATCGAAACAGTTGTTCCTGTATTCGACAAGTATCGAACCAGCTTTTCCTGTAATCGACAAGTATCGAACCAGTTGTTCTTTATTTGACAGCCAACCGCTGCTATGCTTTCCTAACACTGGTCCTGGTTCGAGAGTGCAATAATTGATTGATATTTTAAACTAAATATCACATGGGTGGCGGGACGGGAAAGGGAAACACAACAGGGTTAGAACAAGACAACCTTGGGAAAACCACGCGTGTAAGCCCACATTAGATTTGGACAGTTTGGTGCACAAAATAAATACAATAATTATACAGTATCTCATGGTGAGACCTAACTGTTACGCTATCAATTCAAGCAATAGAGCACGTGGTCTTAGTGATACTGAAACTCTCTAACGAAAACACCCATAAATCAATAAGCTGTATTCCGTCTTGGCTGTGAGAAATTCGGTTGTCTACGTCACGATTAAACATGGAGGAGGCGTGGGTGGTGAGACCGCCTCTAACCGACTGCCGGTCGTCCAGTGGCAGTGGATGGTCAAAAGGCCAACGTGAATGCGGCTTGTCCTGTAGTGTAGCGTGGCAAGTTCCGGAACGCTTGTCAAACTGGCCGAGATGACCCAGTTCAGAGGTCACGAGGCTCAACTGATCCCCACATTTATACGATAAATATCCATGGCTACCGAACCTTGGAGAATTTCCCCCAAGTCCAAGTACTTGGGGATTTATGACCCGCTTGGGTACTAGGGAATAGTTATAAAAATCAGGTGAAACCTTGGGAAATGTTAGTTTGGAGAGAAAATAGTTTGAAATTCATCAAAATAAAGCACTAAAACTTGAAAATAAAAGGATTTTTTAAATGTTTTTTTTTTTTTTTTTTTTAAAGGGAAAAATATTTGTTTTACTTTTTTCCTTTTTTTAAATCTGCGAGGTTTGTTGTATTTTTTAGTGCCACCGTTTATATTAAATTAGAAATCTTTTTTAGTTTGAAATTCATCAAAATAAAGCACTAAAACTTGAAAATAAAAGGATTTTTTAAATGTTTTTTTTTTTTTTTTTTTAAAGGGAAAAATATTTGTTTTACTTCTTTCCTGATTTGAAATCTGCGAGGTTTGTTGTACTTTTTAGTGCCACCGGTGATATTAAATTAGAAATCTTTTAAAATTAAATTTCACATTGTATTAAAAAGTAATACATTAAAGAAATATTTTTTGTTTAAAATTCATCCACGTGTTGAATGTTGAACAAATTGACAATGTTAATCATATGGCAATCCCAGCAATTAATAAACTCATCATAATTTTTTAATCAACGAATTCGTGCTAAAACTATGGGCCTCTGAAGAAATACTCTTGCTACTCGTTCAACCAGAATCACTACAATCCGATGAGTGAAGGGACGGGTGTGGCTTCGCTGGCGAAATAGAAACAAAATATAAAAATGGTAGTAATCAAAGTTTTAACTTGGAATGGCTAAAAGATCCCAGATTTAAAGATTAGCTACAGCGGGACAAAGACGATCAAGATTCTTATTTTCAAAAATATTTAAAATTCCATTGGAAAATGCAAATATTAATAGGTCCTTAATTAATGAAACATAAATGCTTAGTGAAACGTTTAAAAAAAAAAGTGAAAGTGCAGAGTCTACACACAGCAAGAGTCAATTTTATAAAAATAATTTTAAAAAACGCACAGAAGATGAAAACATAACCAAAAAAAATTATTTGTTAATTGCTGGATATTTTTACGAAAATAAAGATCTAACACGTTTCAACCAAGCTGACCATTTCCTCCAAGTTTGTAAACATGGCAACATGGCATTCCATGATTTTCAAATGGCTTCAAAATTGTCGATAAAAAATGTAACCAAAATTTAGGATCGCATGTGATGAAAAGTTGCAACAAATAGAAATATGCACTTCTACCACACATTTCGCTTTTATTTTTTTACTATTACTGGATGATATATTTGTAAGGTTTTACAACCTAACTCTAGTTTGTTGATATTTTACTGTAAATATTTATTTAGAATTGTATAGTTGTTGTTTTTTTATGTCATAAACCCTTTTCAAGTCTGCACAGTGTATTTCTGGTTCATCAATGTAAGCTTTTATTGTATTAATTAATTTAAATTTATTTTTCAATAGTATATTTTTATAACCTTAGGACATTTTTGGACAAAATTTTAGGAATTTGAAAAAAATGTGAATGGCAAGCCGGCTTTACGCTACTGGTGATTTTCTTTCGACTACACAGTTTTTTAAATTATTATAATTATTACTTGTTTGCCACACATATAGAGAAGGCACTCTGGAGAAACTTTTTTTTTTTTTTTTTTGGGTTTCCTTGGGGATGAAGGCACTGTGCGAGTCCTGTGCTAAGTCTAAGTCACGGGTTCTCAACCCATAGGATAGGTTCCATACGTTCATTTTTTTTGATTAACATTTTTTGAGAAACTTTTTTTTTTTTTTTTGGGTTTCCTTGGGGATGAAGGCACTGTGCGAGTCCTGTGCTAAGTCTAAGTCACGGGTTCTCAACCCATAGGATAGGTTCCATACGTTCATTTTTTTTGAGTAACATTTTTAAACGTCCAAAATGACAGAAGGGTTGGCAAAAGCATGAGCAAAACTCAACCAAGGATTTTGAAACTAGTTAACAAGCTACCATTTCAATCTTCGCTTTACATATGCCATAAGTCATAATTAATTATGTTAAGAATATATTTTCAGTGTGTTTTGTTTTTGTTGTTCCCTTTTAGTTTTAGTTTTTTTTTTTTTTGCGAGTCAAATAAGTTTGGGAACCTTTGTGCTCTTAAAGTAAATAAACTAAGTGAAAGAACATCATTGGGTTTTGAAATTCTTCTGTTAAAAAGGAAGCAAATGGAACAGCTTCATTTGTCGCCATTATTCCCTATGAATGTATTTTATACAAACTTTCTAGTTCTTAAAAAGAAATCTTTGGTTGATGATAAATACATATGAAATAGGTCAACAGTGAAGATTTTCATATTTTTTTTTACCCCGAATTTCGAGGCGGGAAACCCGTCAGTGTCAAAGAATATATTAACGAACATTTTGTAAAAACAAATTCAAGCGCACCCATATTTAGGACATTACGATTAACTATAGGCATTTTCTTTCATTTGTTTTCAAACACCTCGATATTAATAAAATGATGTGAGGATTGATTTACTTTGAATAAAATTATTTTTTGAAGGCTTATAAGTGGTTACAAAGCACGCTGACATGGTTCAATACACCACCACTAAGTCATCTGCGAATACGAGCGCGGCATTGCCAGAGCACGGCTGTGTTGAGTGGGACAAGGAAGGCGTCTGACTCGCAGCCATGAGTGTCGGGCGCGTACACGCAATAATGGAGTGAAGAAATCCAGTCTGTCCCGGTTTTGTCCGACTCGCTCTCCGCTCTGTATCTTTTACTGGGCCTAAGGGAGGTAATCGATAAAAACTAGTGCACACTGATTTCAGTTTGAACCTGTATTCATTTTCCAATTCTGGCTAAAGGATAGCCGTAAAAGATAAAAATTGTGTGTTTTTTTTAAAATAGTCATCGAATATCTTCCTTTAAAAAAAAATTGGTGAGTGGGTACGTTTCAAATTTTTTTTTCTCGATAAACGGAACCGCCGCGTGCTGTGGATTAATTCAGTTCAGCAAAGGCAAAGTGCTACACACCGAGTTTCATCATCACCGGCGCTACACGCACGCAACTCAGTGTTTTCACGTCTGATCATTTTGATTTCTCTTTAAGCAAATCTGGTAAAGAAAAAAAGTGTCATTCATCATCAGTTTTCATTGGAAAGAACTAAATTGTGGCTCTTGTTTAACGGGATATTTTTTGCCTTGTGTCAATTTATATTCAGTACACGGTTGTGGAAAACATTAAGGACTATTTTGAAGTGAAGGAAAGTAAGTAGTTCACTAGTTTAGACTAGTTGTTATCAACACTGATTATTTTCAAGATTGTAAGGCAAAAAAAATAATAATAATAAATTAGGCATGCTTAAACTGGCATTTTGAGTAGTCTACTGTTACTGCTCTGTAACACTGTAATGGTTGTTAACGGTTGTTAATATAAAATAATAAATACGTCGCCGTCGCGATAACCTTGTTCCTTGTGCCTTGTTGTAGTACTTGAAAATTTAGGTACAAAATTAGCCACTAACCAGTAATGACGAGTAGGCCTAAGCCCTAAATTCTCGTATCCGGAAATTTGTCTGAAAGAAATTTCATCGACGGAAAATTGATCGAACAGAATTTTGGTCGAATTCATTTTTCAGTTCACGATTCACACGATCTAATATTTGCATCAAATTTCTTTATGAACTCACTATAATATATTATAAAGTAAAACAAAATAATGCGTTCAAAAAGAAATTAGAAATTTAGTAATTTGACGCTAAATTAGTAAATTTTAACGTGTGACGAATTTTAACGAATTCGACCAATTTTCCGTCGACGAAATTTCTTTCAAACAAGTTTCCGGTAACCCTAATTTCTAAGTCAAAGTCTAGTCCTTTACTTTTACTTTATTAAATAAATTAGCATAATAATAATTTAATAATAGTAACACTAATATTTCTATTCGTTAAAATAAATATCTCTCATTTTAGATTTTATTTTAGTTACAATCATAATCATCAAATATAAATTATTGACCCAAGAAATACAGTAACTTGACAATTATTATTTTTTTAATATTATGTTACACATTGCAAGCACTGTGCTACACAGTCTAAAACTAAAAGACCAATGCTGATTCTGTTTGCACGCGTGACACGTTTAAAACCAGATCATGAGTCCCCCCTCCCCCTTTTTTTTCTTCTTCTTTGTGTTACAAAAGAAAAGAAAAAAAACCTTTAGACTTGTTAGTGGGCGGTCATACGCTGAGTTGTGTGAGCGGATCAATACTTGTCTTTATCGCGTGTGTTTGCAACTCACATCGACAGTAATGACAGTAAATTATGCAGCTGCAGGGGAGGCGGGAAGTCTTCCATTTTCTTCTCTAGGTAGCCGAGCTGTAGCACACTCCACGTGTTAATAATTACTGAATTTATATTTTTGTATTGTGTAGACGTAACTTGCCAGTTTTTAGTTACTATAAGCCTAATTGTTTCATCTTGTTAAATTGTGGGCTTGTAATGTAAGCCAATTAATAATCAAAGTCAAAGATCAGTAGTATTTCGAAGCTGCCGGTGATGTATGGTGGTGTGAGGCTACTCCTATTAATAATATTAAGTACATGTATCAGTACATGACTTAGGATTGAAGCCAGTTTAAACTAACAAAGTAGTCGAATATCAAATCTCCTTTATCGATACTGTACACAGGCTACAGATTAAATGTATAAGTATAAATATTTGAGACTCCCAATGCGAATTCATCAAACTCCGGTGCCGATAGGCCTACCCACTAATTAATTTTTGTTGTTGTTGTCATTTAAAATAGTCTAGAGTTAGAGCCATGTTCCCGAGTTCCGATATTTTTCATTATTTTTTCTGTACCGCTTGAATAAATAGATACTAAATATAAATTGTTTTGTCCTAAGAGAGCACCCTAGAGGCCTAGGCCTAGGGCTATTGTATTGAGGCTATATTATGATTTATTATTTTATAAGTTGTTGTTTTTTTTGTGTGTGTAGTTAGCATCAGTCGTTCAGTAGTAATGTTTGGAGGTAGCTAATGACTTTCAAATAAATTGTATATTCACATTTAAAAATGTAAAGATTTAAATTATTTAGCATAGCCATAGGCCCACATTTCAAGATATTATTTATTCCTAAGAGTGGTCTCAGTGGATCAAATCATATTGGAATTATTGCTAAGTTAATTATGGTAACTTTAGTTAGTAGGCCTCTTGTCTTAGATATAACTCACTATGAATAAATGGTGTTAGTGTTAGTAGAAATAACAAATTGTGTGAAGCTTGCCGTATAATAAGGCATGGGCCTTGCCATTGTGACTGTGAAGATGATGAAAATGATATGGATTGGTCTATGCAAAGCTTTTTTGGGGTACTTTTATGAATTATTTAATAGTAGACCTACTTATATAAGAATAGAAATGACTTTTATTAAGTTGTGTTTGTGGTTTAACTCTAATCTAAGATGTCATAGCTCCCTGGGGTGTCCATTAATTACTTCAACATTATTAAATCGATTTTTTTTTTTGCGCCCCCCCCCCCCCCCCATCAACAACTGTCAAACTTTCAATGAGCCCCTCCCCCCCAATTTAAGTAATAAGTCAACATTTTTATAACACACCCCCACCTCCCTAGAAAAAAAAAAGAAGAATTATAATAAAAATAATTATATGAATACATTTTACTTTGTGCTCATCTATTATAATGACACAAAATTGTAGTAAAGTACATCTTATCACATTTTAAGCTTGTTAATCAACCAGTTAAAAAGTTTTTACAATGCAGAATCAATTAAAAAGGTTGTTAAAGACTAAATATCATTGATATTGTTTGTGGAAGTATAAATGTGATTATTTTCAGTATAGCTGACGATTGTAGCATAGTTTCTAGCTGCTGTCATCTTCCCAGGGAGTTGGCAGATGTTGCTCTATCGTTACAATGGGCATAGTAGCTGGATTATTATTTTCATATTGCGAACATATATACCAGAAAAGTCAAGATCATCCTCTTCTTACCATTCAGCACTTAAAAATAGAAGCATTGTCAGTGTGAGCAATAATTGCGATAAGCTCTCTCTGTCTCCTGGCAGATATTCTTTTTAGTTCCGTAGCAGGTGGTAATTTCTTATGCTCAAGAGTGCATTGTCGGTGCTGTTTAACATTCTATTTCAACATAACTTGTGATGCAAAATAGATGTTACAGATTTTGCAAATCTGTTCAAGAAGTGATGTTATTATTGTTGCTCACTTTAATTTCCCCATATTCTCAAAATATCGTATTCCTACTCTATCAATATCATTTATCTTGACTGCACATGACACTTAAATCCTGTCCTTGTTCCATACCTGCAACATGATTGCAAACTTACCACTCTAGGCATTTATGACAAACAGAATCTACAGGCAAAGAAAGGCCAACTTTTGACTTCTCTTGCACCAACAATGTGTGTTAACATTCTGACCAGCCATCAGCAGTGCACAGACAGACACACATTAAATAAATCTTATATTGTTAAAAGCCTAAAAATTATATAACTATTTACGCTCATTAAATTTTTGAAAATAATGTAATAACCAGTAAATCTTTAAGATTAAAATTTTAATACAGAAAATATGATTGTTGACATCAACTAATGTGCCCCCCCCCCCCCCATCCCCCTTTTCAACAATCATCAACCATTTCCAAAGCCCCTCTTCCCCTATTTTGTTGACACATTTAATGGACGACCCCCCTGACATATTGATTTACCGGTACTTCTCAGAATGGCGGTCTCAAATTGAAAATATAACACTATTCCACCAGCCTAACAGCCGCCGAAAATGATTGCCTTAAATTTAAATGTATTCATTTATTTAAAAATTGCGATCTTCATCAAGCTCCTCATCATCACCTCCTGAAAGATGTATTTTAAAAAAAAAAGAATAAAAAATAATTTTAAAAAGAAGAGGAGGTCCCGAAGAAGAAAAGACAGAAAAATTCAAGAGAGAAACAAAAGTTATCTATTGAATTATTGTTTTATATTAGAAGGCAGACAGTTGGTGTTTAGCAAACCACACTAACCAAAGCATACAGTGCCTTCAGCATTGTGTCATAACTTTGTAGAATGTTTCCTGACAAGATATTATTTGAAACCGGTGAGTGCGTTCTGCCGGACACTTTCTAACGAAAAGTATTCTATTTTTAATTTGGGACCGCCGTTCTGAGGAGTGCCTATATAATAATTAATATAGGCAATAACTATATAATATGTTTGACCTATGGGTGCCATGCTTAGTCAAATAATTCATAAGGGAGCAGAATATAGAAAAGGTTGTAAAAACCTTCCATTTAAAATAAATTGAGTGCCTATCAATTGATAAAAAAACAGGTATTTAAATAATATGTTTGCAGTTTCAAAATTTATACCCAGAGATTTTTCTATGACATGTCAAATAAAAAAAAATTGTCTAAGTCCCTAAACGTCCCAAAACTGCAACCATATTTTATTTTCATTATACATTTTTATACCATATTTTCATTACTTTTATTCTGAGTGGTTCAAGGCATTTTATAACCCTCATTATAGTTGATCTCTCTTTATCACTGTTTATATATTTTTTATTATTATTATTTACAGCAAACGCCCCCAAACCCGTTCCATTGTTATTGCCATCCTCGTCGGTGCTCTTATCGTCGGGGTTGGCTGTGCAGCTGGGCTTGCCATGGGCCTAAGAAAAGACAGTGAAAATAATACTGCTACAAAAACTCCAGTCTACAAATCTTCTACTCAAACTTACAAGTACGCATCAGTTGTGGCTGACTCCAAAGTCAGCTCAGATATAGGAAAGTAAGTATTTCTTTATAACACAAAGTTTAATTATTTTTTTTTTTTAATGCCATGTGTAAGACTAGATAGTTGATAGTTAACATTATTTTCATGCCCTAATGTCATTTAATCGGTCTTGCTTGATAAAGATTGACACTTGCATTTTGCTATCAGACATTGCAATATGTGTAAGAAGCATAATTTGGCAAGGTAAATATGTTTAGAATAGTTATAAAAAGTGACAGAAAAAAGATGTAGGAGCAAGGAAATAAACAAAATAGTTTTAAATTAAACAAAATTGTCATTATAAAAGGCTGAAAGTTTAGTTGCTAAATATGTTGAACGTAAAGCTTTTAAAATTATTTTTTTAAAATTATTATAAATTTAAATAAACTAATTTTTTGTTTGTTAGATGGAATTGTAAAAATTGTATTATAATTTTTTACTCTACTAGCGATATTTTAGCCAGAAAGAGAGGCAACGCGATAGATGCAGCTGTTGCTGCACTATTGGCCACAGGCGTTTTAAGTGCTCACAGTGCGGGTATTGGAGGAGGATCATTTTATGTTATTTATCACAGGTATTATACTAAAATGTGTGTTTCAAAAGTGTTTTTACGTTATCTAACGGTGTTCAATGAATATTTTGATGATAGTAGCAATTCAAGATTAATTATTAATTTTACATTGCAGAAAATATTCCTCAGTAGATCTAGTTATATTTTATTACTTTAAAATTGCCATCTTTTTTGGAGAGAAAACAAGTTCCCATGTTTGGTAAATTATGTTGTGCTGGGATCTGGAATTCAATTTCTTTCTTTTATTAGGGATCATGGATGGCATTCTGTGGACAGTCGAGAGACTGCTCCAGGTGCATCAACTGAAGATATGTACCTGTTGCCAGAACAGAGAAACAAATCTATGTATGGTAAGCTTTTGTTCTTTTTTTTTATTTTTGTGTTCGTTAATCTGTTGTTTATAATCACAGCAATGCTTATTCATAACTGTTACAATCCTTTATGTTAATTTTGATTTGCAAAAGATGACTCGTACATTAGTTTTTTTCTTTAGTTGATTATTATTTTTAAACAAATATATTTTGAAAATTTTGTTATTCTAGGTGGAATGGCCATTGGTGTGCCAGGAGAAGTCAAGGGTCTTTATGAGGTTCACAAAAAATTTGGAAAGGTTCCTTGGAGAGATGTTGTTATGCCAACTGTTAAACTCTGCCGAGATGGTGTACCACTTTCAAAAGCTCTCCACCACGCACTTAGTCGCCTTCAGACGGATGAGGATAAAAACAAATTTCTGTGAGATATTTTTCTATATAAATTTCAATTATACCAACATTGATTGCTTTGCCCTGTTAATTTTTCCGAATTTTTTTCATGTACTTTTTCTCTTACAGATATTTAAAAGCACCAGAACGTTTTCCATAGGATACTCTTAAAGAACAAAATTATAAGGTGACATTTTAGGATAAGTGCCATGAAGGATTTACTCTGTCAAATCTCTCATTTTATTGTTTTACTGTATTATTTATCAATGCAGGCCATACTTTGACCACAATCGCAATGTAAAACCATTAGGAAGTCTGATTAAGCTACCAAAACTTGCCAAAACATTCCAAGCTATTGCTGATGACCCTTTGTCTTTCTACAACGGCAGTCTAGCCAGTGATATTGTTGCTGATATTAAGGATGCAGGTATGTTCTTCCAGTTACTTAAGCGCTCGTCTCATTTTTATCACTGCCTTTCCTTCATTTTCCTTTGACTGGTGCAGTTATATTTACATTAAATAAATGTGTGTGAGGGGGATAAAAGCTGCCATTTGAATGCAAATGTTATTATTCAGTGCCTGAACCATATGACCCCCGTAGTTATGGCTGAACACACATTTTAACAGGTGGAATAATAGAAGTCAAAGACATGGAAAACTACACATTGAAATGGGACAAACCTACAGAGATGCATTTGCCCGGTGATTTATGTGTGTACTCTGTCCCCCCTCCAGGAAGCGGGCCTGTACTCAGTTACATTCTCAGTATTCTCAGTGGTGGGTGCTTCTTTCCACATAATTTCTATGTTGATAGAGGGAAGAAACACTCAGTTGTAAAATGTTAACTGATTCTAGATAGGATATACATATTTTACTGGGGTAGCATTTCTGAATTTCATCTTTTGGGTATGTAATTTTTCTTCTCATGTTTTGCCTTCTTTGTAGCCTTGCAACTTAATTTGGCCAGGTTTCACAACTAATCTGGTACACTTAATGCTCGCAGGATACAAATTTAGTCCTGAAAGTATTTCAACTGATGAAGACTCAATACTCACCCACCACAGAATCATTGAAGCCATGAAGTTTGCATATGGCAAGAGAACAGAATTGGGAGATTCAAACTTTGTTGATGTTAAACAGGTATTCATTTAACAGTTAAAAAGACTGTTGGTTTCTTATTACTTATGCTTTTAAAATGAAATTAGGATGTTCTTTTTTTTTTCTTATCAATCAGTACAAGAACAGAATCTGCAATGCCAAGAAAGAATTTGTTAGGTGAACATGATTTCTTTGAATTTCATCATTTCCATAATCCATAATATATATTTTTTTATTTTAAAATACAAATTTTCACATTTAATAGGATGTAGCCAACATGACATCTTTGTCTTATGGTGAGTCAATTAGGCAGCAGATTGATGACAAAATGACCCATGACACTAGCTACTATCAACCATCTTTCTATAACAATAACGATGAAGGTACAGCACACATCTCTGTAGTTGATGCGGAAGGCAATGCTGTTTCAGTTACCAGCACGATCAATACATAGTAAGAAATCTTGCACCAATGTTATCTTTTTTTAAAATTATTCTGTAGTAATTTATATCTTTTAGCGTTGTACCAATAAATAGTATTTAAATTTTATAAAAGTGTAGTTTCTATTTATAATTAAACAAAAAATTCAACCAAAAAAAAAATTAAATTTAAAAAAATACAACATAGTAACTGACTAAATATTATTGGCTTTTCAGTTTTGGAAGCAGAATCAGGGGAAACAGAACGGGTATTATTTTTAACAATGAAATGGATGATTTCTCAACACCAAACACTGCCAATTACTTTGGGCTTCCAGCATCAGAAGCTAATTTCATCCGTCCAGGGAAGAGACCAATGTCATCAATGTGCCCAGCTATTGTTTGGGATGTAAAGGCTAAAAAAGTTCGTCTGGTGACAGGTGCAGCGGGGGGCAGCAAAATTACTACTTCTACTGCTCTTGTAAGTTAATTTAATATCATTGTTCAACTATAAATTGCCGGTATTTTCAAATCCCAAGATTTTAAAGTTTAGTAATTATGTGCATGGTCAAATTCTGAACTTTATTGCTTTCCATATTTTTGTAATTAATAGTATGAACAGATTCATGAAGAAATTGGCTTCACTTCTAGAAAAGAGACAGCTTTAAAGGGGCTTTTAACTTCAATGAATATCATTTCATGTCAGTTAAAATTATATAAATTGTTTCGTTTATAACAGAATATAATAGATGTACTGTGGTTTGGCATGTCCCTCCCTGCTTCCATTGATCGTCCTAGACTGCACCACCAACTTATGCCACCTGAACTGGTTGTGGAAAAAGATTATCCTGAGGTGAGCATTTATATACTTTGTATAGAAATAGTTTTACAATTGAAAAAATTTTTCAGGTAACAAAATTAAAATGAAAGTCATATAATGGTGGCGTCACAAATATTAATAGTGGAATGTCAGAACCACTCATATTATGATATGGTGAACAGAAGTCAGAACCTGTGCTAACAACGAAGGGTGGTAAAAATAGAGAAGATACCAAATTAATTATGTCGTTTGTTCTTGGTTATGTGGAAATAGAAGAATAACCTTGTAGGACAGATGAGTTGGTTTTTTTGGAGTGATGAGAATTAAGAAGTTTGTATTTTTATATGAATATATTTTATTCATTACTTTGGATTTACGTAAATATATCTTGTTCATTACATTGCATTTTCTGTGATGACTATTTTTTATTCATATCATTGGATTTTATGGAAATATACTGCATCTTACCGCATATAATGAGAGTAATTTGGGATTTAAAAAAATCCTACTTAAATTTTAGGGGTTTGCAAGCGCATGGGTGAATTTTTTTCAAAACAGTAAATGATACTAAATTTTAATGCCAATGCAACTAAATCTTGGTGCACTCGCATTTGGTGACTGAGCCCGTAGTGTATCTGTGCATAAATAACACAAATAAAGTAGCGCCCCTTTGAAGAGATATTAGCATTGTTGTATCAGAATGGCCACAGTTAAATTTAAATATAATAAGTTAAATAACTTGGACATGTTTATTAAAAAATAATAATCAATTTCCTTAATTCATATTGTATTATTATGGACAAAATTCATAATTCCTAAAAAGTTAGGGTTTGCAATGTAAATGGATCATATTATACACGATAATGTACAGTATATATTTCGCTACTGGATTTACATATTATTATGTAAAAACCAATAAAGTCACTGTTTCATAGAAGTAATCACACCATCATCAAATTTGTGCTGTGACAGGTGGTATGGTATCCCCTTTTATGATAAAACAGTTTTTAATAAATAGTAAACACATACCATACTTAAAAACCCTGCTAAAAGTTAAATTAATTTTGTGTGATCTAAATTAGGTGATGATATTAAATTGTGTAAAGTTGTTTCAAAAAAATTTAATCACATTTAATATGAACAATGTCTTAAATTTTCCCCAGACAATACTCAATGGCTTGAGAGCCAAAGGACATGTAACAAAAAATATGGTTGGCTACTCTGTCATTCAGGCAGCTGATGTTTTGGAAAATGGTATTGTGGGGACTGCTGACTTTCGTAAAGGAGGGGATCCCAGTGGATACTAGCCAGTCGTTTTTTTTTTTTTTAAATTAATTTATTAAGGCTGATCTATGTAAATGAAATGCCTATGTAAATAGTGTATTGAGTTTCTCTTACATTATTAAAAAAAAATTGTTAAGTGATTTAATTTATTTAATACTGTTTTTTAATGTAATTCAGATAAAGTTAATTTTGCAAGATCATTTTTTATTTCTAGTAGGGCTTCTTACAAATAAGATAAATATTTATGGTCTAGGGCTGTTCTTATTTAATACATTGGTGGCTGAAACAAAAATACAACAAAAGTACCGTAACGATTCAACCAACAGCATATTGATAAGAGGTTGCTAGAACAGAAATGTGGACTTAAAGAAATTTAAGTTAATTTAAATGAAGCTAAAAACAATACAAAAAGGAATTGTAGAGGAACAGGATCACTACTGAATAGACATTACATTTTTTTTACATAGTTGAGTCTGCCATTATCTTGTTTTGTACATATCAAAAGTTGTTGTCAAAGCTACACATTTTCTTGTCCGGATGAGAAGATGCCCAGAGTTTTAATAAGGTACCACTTGTTTTTAAAATGAGAAAAGCAAATAAATTGATGTCAAATGTGGAATGCTAGTCATTTTTAATGAGATAGAAAATGTAGGCCAGTGAGAAGTATACTTGTTCACTCTTTGAATTTGTAAGTTGTGATCTTTGGATGAACAAGCTATGCATGGATATTTGATCTACAGCTTAGAAGTTGAATATTTATTATTTATAGTATATTAAATTTCAAAAATATATATTTTTTTTAAAAAATGGTTATTACTCAAATTCAATGTTTCAGATTGTTTTCTTCTTGCACGTAGCCCCTACTATTGAATTATTTTGAAGTCTTTATTTTAACAAAAAATACAATTGTTTTGTTTAAACATGATAGGTAAAGTATTTTTTTTTTAAATAAAAATCTTTCTTCTAAAGTTTTGCACATAGGCTAAGGCTACATTTAGCATGTGTTTTTCTTCTTTAGATAAGTAAGAGCTTTAACCATTATGTTTAGGATTACATTTTAGGAAGCATGCATATTTATGAAAATACCATTTTTATTGATTACATCGGTTTTTAATAAATAATCTTTTAATTAATTTATAAATAATTTTCAAAAACCAAAAACGGTGATCAAGAAAAATGTTAAGATTTTGTGAATAAGCTTATATGATTTTTTTTTTTTTAAAGATGGACGTTAAATATTCTTATTTTGCTTTTTTGTATTGCAGTTATATTTTTTAAAAAACAACACATTTTGTAACATAAAGTGAGAAATTGAATGGTTATATATTAGATTTAGATCAGTTCAGAAATAAAAGAAAGCAAGCTAATTTTTTTATTCAATAACAGAATTTTTTCTTTCACATAAGTAATTTTTTATTTAGTGGTGTTTAAAAATGCAAAGTGTCTGGATTCTTAGAGAAGTATGTGAAAGCGTTGACTGCTGCATTGTGTGGGAGTTGGTTGATTGTTGGGATGAGAGAACAAACATTTTCTTGCACTAAGCTCAACACTAGAACATATTTATTGCATTTAAAAATTGGCTTCTCGCAATTGTACAATTTCAAAAACATTCAGATTTCCAAACAGTATGTTTTCCATAGCAAAATTATTGAATGCGCAATGTCATTTAGTTATATATTGCCATAAACTAATGTTTGCATACACATGTTTGTATGGATATTCTCATTCATAAAGACAGGAATGTACATACTTCTAGTCCTTGGTATTATTTTTTTTCCTCCCTCATTCACCATCTAGTCTGTAACAGTCTGTCTTGTAGTCTGTCTTGTGTCATATTTATGCTGATTGTTTTTAATTTAGCAGACCATATGTTTTATGTATTTTTTAAAAATCCACCTCATCATCATTGGCCACATGTGTCTTAGCCTTTTTCATTTGACAATATCAAGTTAAAGCATTTTAAATATACATTTCCCAACTGTTGGCATTTTTAATCATCACCGTCAAAACATTACATCTAACCTTTTTTCTTTGCATGAATGGAATCATAAACACATTTGCCTCACATGAATGGAAACATACACACATTTGCCTCACATGAATGGAAACATACACACTCACTCTTTTTTTTTTAAACTTTAAAAAAAAAAAACTTTAAGGAGAGATCTGACATTTTCAGTATTTTAAAGTGTTACTCAAGTCTAAAACATTGTTTGTAAATATGTACATTTATATACACATGATCTGCTCTATTATCTATACAAGAGATTATCATACGAAATTGTTGAAATTACTGGTATTTTTTGTTTTTGCTCACTCTCCTAATGGCTAGTGGTCAGCTTGTGAATGTCATTTTAAAATGTATGATATGCTAGACCTTTGTTTAACTTTATGTACCAGTGGGCTTTACAGAGAACAGCACTTCTTTATCATGAAATATTTTAACTAAAATTGCTTTTTGTCTGAATTGATGGACATTGCTCTATTCTTGCTACTGTCAGTTTAAACAAGATTTTCACCCACTAAAACCTCGAGTTTCAAAAAGAACAGTCCTTGTGACACATTGAATTGAATTTTTCGAGCACACATTTGGAAACAGTCGTTAATTTGTCATGCAGTCTGATACATTTCTTCCTTTCAGAACAGACAGTTGCTAGCTTAAAATTTTAATATTCTTAATATTAAATTTTACATGAATAGATGCGGCTGTTGTTTTTTTTAAAACTTTTGCTTCACCGCTTAAGCCTCTAGGAATTCTAGAAAATTCCAACACTGTCTATTGACCAATCATTCTAATCACGGATCGGATCATCACATCACTTCTACCATGAAATCCTGGCCAACTGAGTTAGGCTGTGGACATTCACAGTGAGCATCTGTGATGCATTAAGTTCTTGTACACTTTAAATAAGTTGACTTTTTTAATGTACATGTAGATATGAGTACCACTTTTAATGTGCTTGTATTAAACTTGATATAACAGTGTGGACAGTTTTGTTCATTTTTCTTTACATTCGTATCTTCTGTTGTCTGCATGTCTGTTTTGAAACTTTGACTTGGAGGATCACACAAAGAGATTACATTAAAATTTTGCCTTAGACACACACAAAGGAATTGCTAGAGTTTTTGTCTTAGATCACACAATGAAATTACATTAAAGGTTTTCAGTAGTGACCATATAATGTTATTTAATTTGCAGACCTGGATTAATAATGATAGTTGAAAAAATGTAATTGCCCTATACTTTTCTTTAAAGATATTCATTCACGTTTGAGTGACTTCACTTGGTCCCACAATTTGTTATCTTTAAGTTACAGAATCCTTGATGCAGGCCAACCTTTTTTTACTAAAGAGCTTTGCTAAATCATTAAATAAAAAGTTATGCTAAATAATTGTAGATATTTCACTTTAAAAAATCAGACTTGAATAAGATATTAGATTAAGTTCATTAAGTCTAATCATATAAGAATTTAAGTTCTCACTAAGCTATTGTTTTAAACTTATTTACATTAGGAACACACCCCTCAAAAAATAAGAGTAAAAAAATAAACGCAAATTTAAAACTTTGTTCTTTCCCTGAGGAGCAACTTACTATTAGACGGATCATCAAATAGTGGCCAACTCACATTTTGGGTAAAATGTAAATACATTTTTAACATTGAATTTTGTCCCTTCATTTTAAAATCATATGATTGCTCCAGGGTTAAGCTAAGACATTAGTAAGAGACTTCTATATATTAAGGAACCACGATCAATGTATTGATCATTCTGGCTCCTATGCATGTAGAGGGGATTTGCAATGTTTCTGTGCCTGGTATTGAAGAGTATATTTCACTGGTTGTAAGGACTTCTCAGCGAAGGTAGCATGAACTGGGGTTTGGAAGGCCCGAGGCAATAGACTCAAATATGTCAATTGTTGTCGCCTCAACTGTTCATTTTGGAAGCTTGTTCCAGTCCCTAATTGTCTTTGGCATGAATGAGCAGTTCATGTACCGTGTTCTTGCTTTTATGAGCAAGAACTACCTGTCATGGCCTCGTCGATGTCGAGGCGCCAGTGGCGTAGTGAGGGTGTTTGGCGCCCGGGGACAAGATTCATTTTAAAGCGCCCCCTTTTCTTTTCTTCAACTCTCAAACACATTATCTTTACCAATAATATAATATCAAATCACATTTTGGCGCCCCTAACTAGCTTGCGCCCGGGGACATCTGTCCCCCCCCCCCATCGCTACGCCTCTGCTAGGGGCAGAGGGACGTGCTCCTGTTTAATACTGGAGCAGTGGACCAGCCCATTATTGATCCTGTACATCAGGCATGCATAACTCAAAATGTGAGGCAGGCCGTAATACTTTATAGAAAATAGGACAGGTGAGAAACTATTAAGAAAATAATAAAGAATATTTCTTTACTTCGTGGGGCGCAACATCGGTGCTGGCGGGTCGTATGTTATGCAGGCCTGTTGTACATCATGGAGAGCATGGATAATCGTCGTCTTTTTTCAAATGGTGCCCAGCCCAGTGTTTCCAGCATGCCCAGCCCAGTGTTTCCAGCATGCTGCCCAGCCCAGTGTTTCCAGCATGCCCAGCCCAGTGTGTCCAGCATGCTGACCAGCCCAGTGTTTCCAGCATGATTCCCAGCCCAGTGTTTCCAGCATGCTGACCAGCCCAGTGTTTCCAGCATGCTGCCCAGCTCAGTGTTTCCAGCATGCTGCCCAGCCCAGTGTTTCCAGCATGCTGCCAATATTGGAGGTGTTCGTACCCCGGTACTTTGACACAAAATTTAAATATTGTCCGATTGCCATGAATGATACATAATTTTAAAGTGCTAGCTATAAGCTTTTTAATAATACCAATTTCATCTTTCTATCTTTTATAGAACTGGAGTTTTGTGTGTTTTTTTTTTTTTGGATTGTTTATTGTGACTCCCTTTTGACAATCTTTCACTTTTTCCTCCCACCCATACCTTTTTTATTTTTAAAGAAAAATCTTATGGTGGAAGCCGCTGATAGCACCTTTATAAGCTTTTTAATAATACCAATTTCATCTTTCTATCTTTTATAGAACTGGAGTTTTGTGTGTTTTTTTTTTTTTGGATTGTTTATTGTGACTCACTTTTGACAATCTTTCACTTTTTCCTCCCACCCATACCTTTTTTATTTTTAAAGAAAAATCGTATGGTGGAAGCCGATGATAGCACCTTTCGTCATATTTGCGTGGAATTGGCATGAATATTAAAAAAGACCACCAATTTCATTTTCAAGGGGCTTCATCCGGTTTCGTTGTGTGCTTAACACAGTGTCGTTTCGGTAGAGTTATCCACCTTGATTTGAACTGACACAACAATTTCACGTGATCCACAGGCGGATTTTCACGAACACACGAGTCTTTAGGTTTAGGTCAACTAAGCGGGTTATATTTTGCGTCATTCACAAGACGAGCCGGTAGCCTACAGATCTGCTAGGGAGGAATACGAAAGGTAAGAAGAGTTTGCGTTTCTTTTCGATTAGGGAAACTGAAATTGCTTCAGATTTCGAAATGCCTCTTTAGACTCTTTACTTTAGCAAGGTCTACATTTTAACTTTCGTGTCTTTAGGCTTTTTCTTTAATAATATTATAATATTGACATCATCATCGAGACTTATGCCTAAATCATGTATTATTAACTATTATTGTTAAAGAACTTTGGATTCATTTAATTCTACATTTTAAAAAAAATGCTATAGTACTACAACTACAAAATTGACTTGTCAAACATAATCACTAATTTAATTATCTAAACGATTAATCTCCCCTCCTGCCATTGCACTGGATATATTGAATAGATGTATTGCATTTGACGCAGCAGTCAAGAGCATTCTCGTCCCGCTTTATAATTTGACCTGGCTTTCTGACAATTCAGATGCTTTTACTGTGTTTAAGACGCAGGCTTAAGGCTAAGTCCTGGCTTAAGGCTAGTAGGGTTAGCCCGTCCTCGAACTGAGGTCAGTTAGGTCTAGGTGGATTGAGGTCAGTCTTCGGCCCACATCCTCATCCCTTGCCATTGGCTTGCCTAGCCTTAGGCTTGGGCTTTGGAGGACCACTTTTGGTACTCATGACTTTGACTGCTCCCTTGGAGGATCACTTTTGGTACTCATGACTTTGACTGCTCCCTTGGAGGATCACTTTTGGTACTCATGACTTTGACTGCTCCCTTGGAGGATCACTTTTGGTACTCATGACTTTGACTGCTCCCTTAGTACTAGAAATATTTTTGTATGCATAAAATATAAAATTGCAAAATTTAATACTAATAGTTTGAAATTATTAATTTTAAAACATTTATGCATAAGGGTTTAGTTTAGAGCATTGACTTGGGTGTCAGAAAGGACACACACATTTTAATTAAAAACTAATTATCCTGTAACATTCCTCTATGAGTAAGTTAGTGTTAATGTTAATATATTCTACTACAAGGTAAATATTAATCTTGTCAATTTCTAAACTATAACCTATGTTCTACAAGCACACACTCTTTTTACAGTTCTCACTATCACTATCGAGGCACCCTAAAGAAGAACACACACCCTATTCACACTTTTGTAGCCCCCTTGCCCTTACTACCAAGACAGTTTAGATGTGCCCAGGTGACACTTTTGAAGCACCCTTACTACAAAGACACACCCTGTTAAAATTTTTGTAGCACCCTTACTATCAACACACACCCTTGACACTTTTGAAGCACACTTACACCCAACAAACACACACTGTTCACACTTTTGAGACTCTCTCATTACAAACACACTTACACTGTATTGTGCCTGAAATAATTTTTGCTATCAGTAGGAACTTTCAGGAACCGTCTCTCCAACCCAACACAATTAAAAACCTGTTTTCTTTATCTAAGAACCAGCTGAAATTATTTTATAATTTTATAACAAGTGTTGGGAGCGTTATAGCCCATGTATTAATGATGGGACGATGCCAAAATTTTTAACGATTCCGATACGATTCCGATTCTACCCAATTATCCCGATTCCCGATACAATTCCGATTCCCGGCCATTATTACATATATGTATTACTGTGCCCAGGTATTAACATATTTAATAAATACAAAAGTTGAGAATTGATTAGAAAAGTTTATCAACTTGCTATTGAAGCTTTACAATATGCTAGATAACAAGGTCTTGGAAGGGTTTTATATAACCACATCTATCAATAATTCCATTTTAATAATACAAAGATTTAGCTAGTGTCTTTAATAAAAATCGTTTTGGTATTGGAATCGGGGCTGATACCGATTCCCGGTGCTTTGGAAAAATCCTGATATTTCGATTATTCCGATACGACTCTAATTATAAACGTCCCAGCACTACCATGTATATTAATGTACATCAAATTAACACCAGAAATGTTTATTTAATGAGTCCTGAGTGTGGAGTGACCTGTCGCTAATGAAATATGGAAACATGGAAGGGGGAGGCTGTTGATTAGAAGTCTAACACATTTCCATACATTAGAAATTATTCTGGTACGCATGCTTTTCACATTAGTTCATTTAAGTACTTGTCTTGTACACTCTACTTTTCATAAAATCACTATTCATAGTTCATCAAAGTACTTGTCTTGTACCGGTACTCTCTACTTTTCATAACTTCACAAAAGCCGTAAAACAGGTAGTTCTTTCAGCAACTGAAAAAAATGGAACAAATGTTTCTGGAGGAACAATTTTTGAACAAAATTATGGCACACATTTTTTATGTGTAAATCCCTCAATTTATTAATCTTGTAACTATAATTAAACTCCCATGTTGCAATGTTTCCTCAACCACCTAAAGCAGTGGTTCTCAACCTTTCTCATGCTGCGACCCTTCAACACTGAGCCTCATGTGTGGCGACCACTAACCACAAAAATTTTATCTTTGCTGCTTCATAACTGTTGGGTATAAGTTGCTCCGATGGTCTTGGGCGACCCCTCTGAAAGGGTCATTCGACCCCCAAAGGGGTCGCG